GTACTGGATATTCAAGAAATTCCGAGAACTTTCTTTCCAATCAGATATTATCAGTGAATAAAGCTGCACAGTCAAAAGTTAAGTTTCCTATGACCATTTGCTTTCATGATATGAATTTTTACATTTTGGGGATGGAGTCTACTTTAGTCAAAACCGCAGAAACTTTATTATCTTTAACTTCTTAAGTTCCAGTCCGGTTTTGATGTGATTAGTTTAATTGAAGGTAGGCTCTGAAAAATCATGTTTTGTGAAGAATGTCATCGATATTGATATTTTTCTCTTGATTGATTGATTTATTTATTTCAAAACTTTAATGACTTATATTTCCTGCCTTAATTCTGGGAGGATAATCACCTTCACACAGGGTATTCAGACATAAGCCTTTCTAGAAACACCCAATGTTCAGTCTTCTTTTCAGTCATTAGGTAGAGGGCGCTGAAATCTTTGGAAATCTTGAGTGTCGAAAATTCAGGAAGCTGTCTCGGGTCTGTAAAGTAACAGAGAACTGAGGGTTCCTTTAAATGCTCCGCTGGATCTGCTCAATTTCTGGAAATTCCATGTTCCTTCCGTGATTGATGTGAAAGGTAGTGTCGTATGAATCTGGTACGATCGCTCATTTAGGCATCCCATCAAATGTGTGGTCTTCATGTCATGACATTCATTTCTCCTTGCAAGAAAGTCGAGGAAATCGACGTCAGTGCTCGAGTCTCAATTTTTAGCAGGTTTATAAGTATCTCCTTATTACCAATTCCTGATTTGGCACAAACTAAGGAAGCTCACAAGTGTGGCACTCTTGTAACTCATATGGTTCCAAATCAGTAAATCGGCTCACTCATCCCACTCTCACTCAGCAGACTATAGCATTAGCAGGAATTGCACATGCAGACGTACTGAGTGGAAATACTCGCCTAACAAGGGCGCAGCGTTCGCCCTTTTGGGCAATCAAATGAAGACCTTCAAACAATTGTCATCGGATTCAACGAAAGATGCAAAGCTGCCAGCTTTATGTTTGTCCAGATGTCTAAAATACTTGCCATTCCTTGAGTTGAGTGCCATTCAGGAATGGCTCTCAACGCAATCTTTAACAAGGTACTGACCCGGGTGTTAGCGTATCTCGTATCGTGGTTCATATAAAGCCAGCTGCTCCAAGACAGTCATGCTAGAATTAACCAGTCACTGTCATTGGGACCGAGCCAGACAGTTGGCTTCCAGACGAGAACTGCATCCCCAGACTAAGAAGAATATCTCAAGATGGTCTGTCAACGCTTCTGTACAACTCTGGCTGCTGGATTCTATTGAATAGAAGCCAATTTGAAGTCAAAACTAATGGCACCAGAATGAGCCATCTTCGACGTGTATTCTGTCCTTGAGGGAATAGAGTATGCAGTTTTGATGACACTGAATGGACACGGGGCCGAACCTTAGCAATGGGCCAACAGAGTTTTGAAGCTTGCAAAGGCGTTGGAGAATATGCTACCCTGCTGTCGTGAGCATTTGCTCAGGTAGTAACAATAACATGCAATAGGACGAGAGAGAAAAAAAGCATTCAGGGTTGCGGGAATCGATTAGTAGCCAGTCAATACGAGACCGGATACCATATGAAATACCGGAATAAGACACCCATGCTTCATAGGTTTGTGGGAATAATAGTATTCATTCGTATAATCTGCTAAGAAGTATGACTCAAACACTGATTTAGTTCAACTCACCTGCATGATCTGAAGCTCGGATATCAACTTCATCGACTTTCTTGCAGTGAAAAAGGAATGCCTTGAAATTAAGACCATAAACCTAATGGGATGCCTAATGGAGCGAATGGACCAGATTTAAAAGGGCATACCTCTCACATCAATCACGGAAGGAACACGGACATTTCAGAATTTATTGAACACATCTAGTTTCATAAGTAAGGGAACTTACAGTTCTGTTACTTTACAGACCCAAGATAAGCAATATCAATGAATTTTCGACATTCTCTAGACTTCAGTGCTATCTGCCTCAGGTCTGCAAAGAAGAAGACTGAATGTTAGTGTCTGTGAGCATTATGCTGAATAACCTTATATTAAACTTATTGTCCTTCCAGAATATAAACATTAAATGTAGGTCATTAGCATGTTGACATTTTCGGGGAAAAATTGAGAGATACTAAAAACCTGAAAAATATCAATATCGACGGTAATCGAGAGTTGGCACGGTTTTTTTCGATTTTAAGATGATTTTTTTGATCGTTCTAATGAAACCAGACCCATTAAAATCGAGCAGGAACTTTGGACGCTTTGACTAATTAAATGTAAACTGTTTTAACGAAATTAGGTTGCAGCCCCTAATTGGAAGCATTCATATCTTGAAAAGTAATGATCGTAGAAACACGAACTTTTGATTTGGCGGATTGTTTCACTAACAGATTTCAGGAAGAAGCATCAAATCCGAGTTATGGTGATTTTTTCCCAGTTTGTGTGGATTCGGGTGGAATGACCACTACGAATCTCCCTCTCTTCACATGCACCAATCTCTAAGAAACCTTATTTTCTCATGGAATCTTTGTCGTTCCTTGTTGAGTTTACACGGATTTGTCTCCATTCAGTTAGAAGTCTGGGATGCGATCGAAAACTTGACGATGGAAATTTACTTTGAAGAAGATGGAATTTTGATGAATGCAATCGACTTAGATTCTTACCCCATCGACAGGAACGTCACCTTCCTTCCTCGCTTGAATCAAGGTCTGTTCTTGGTCCGATACACGGATTAAACCTAACATCTCTCGGAGAAAATATCACTATTTGAAAGCTTGAAATCTCCTGATACCCACAGAAACCATTTTCTCATGAGAGCTGAAAGCCTTCCTTTGAAAATCAAGCATGTACTTATTCAATTTCTCCTCCATCCTAAAGATGTTACTGTCTTTAGCTAAAAACCTTATACTGTATACTCAATCAAGGCAATTCAATATTAGATCGCTGGGAAAATTAAGAGATATTATCTATCATGAATTTCCGTCATGCAGGCGTGGTAAGCATGTTTGCTGTGAAATCCAACAATGGTACCGTGATCGACCATGTGGTCATCGACCAATTCAACGCCTTCAATGAAAGAATACGGTTTCAGTTCCCTGTGGTATGCTTCCTTTTCTTCGTTCTCATAAATAGGAAGGAGGGAAACAATGGCCACAATTCGAAAGTGATCACTTTTTCATCGATTGACTTTCCTTTCAAGGAAGGGTTGGTGAATGTGACGGTGGCTGCCTTCAACGAGTTTCAGCAATGGGTATATTCCACGGAACAATATGAGATCCGCATAGTGGGAAAAGTGCAGAAGATGAAGATCGACGACTATGGCCTCATCACCAAACCGGTTTGTTTCTTGTCATAGGAAAGAATGAGACAGGAAAAGAATATCGTTCACTTCTCTCACGAATTTCATGTTAGGGGAGCGAGAAGAACTTGACGATCAGCTTCGAATCTCTCGGAGTGAACACATGCCTTCTTGTCGATTTCGGTGACGGTTCGATCCCATACACATACGGGGAGGAGAAAACGTGCAACACCAGGAAGCCAAACTCATACCAGAATGGAATCAAACTCACTAATCCTCTTCTCGTCCGCCATATATACGTGTTGGTATCTAACAGAGAAAGCACATGGGCCTCATCGTATTGTGGCATTACCGAGAATATTTTGATATTGTAAATAGGGATGGGGACGTGTATAATGTAACGGCAGAGGCATGGAACCGATTATCGCAGACGTCGGAGAATCTGATGATTACTGTTGATCCGAACTGCACTCAACTGGGCGTTGCCATCGAGACTCATGAGGATTCGTATCTCATGTCCATGCCTTTCACTATCACTGGCAATGTTCAATTGAACTGCACCTCCGTTTCGACCACGTAAGTTACTTCACAATGTGACTATAGAGGTCTACTTTGACTTGAGATTATTGCATCGGTTCATCGGTTGTGCAGGCAAGCATGGAATATCACGGAGGTGGACGAGTTGACCAGGAGTTATAAGAAGACGGTGAACATCGAAGACAAATTGGTTGGCTGGAATGCGTCTCTAATCGTTGTCCCTGCCCTGTTCCTCCCCTACGGATACTATCGATTTGAGTTCATCGTTGACATGAGTGGTATGTACCGAGTGTCTTTAACCCTTCTCCGGGCAAGGTATTTTGTAAAGCAAGTAGCCAATGGACTCTTCATTTCTTTTAAATTATCAACCTTTATGCATTTGGCTGTCCCGTTTGCAATCATCTCACATTAACACAAGAACAATTCCCAGCGTATTCACATGTCAAAAATGAGTAAATTACTCCGTTAAAATTTGATTACTGAGACAATTAGAAGTCGTATATTTTACCGTACCATGCAACGTGTTGACTTCAGTTCCTGAGATTTTTATTCAATTCTTTCTTTTCTTGAATGTTTTTATTATTATTATCATTTCCTGACATTCAAGATCTCACTGCAATCTCTAAGGTAGCAGTAACAAAAATAAGATTTTTATTAACAAGTTGCAAATCATACTCATTTTGAAATAAATTTTGAAAATATTGCTTTGCCAGCTTCATCGCTACAGGATACCTGAAGGGAATACTCATAGCTGGGTACCAGGGTAAGGGTGGTGAAAAACTGATGAAAAACAACGTGACAATCGGATACAATTCCAAGTAATTTTGCATGGTTACATCCAGTGGCGTATTTTGGCACAAGAGTCGGGGGGGTGGGGGGGGGGGGGCAGGGTAACAGAGCCAAACCCCACTCAAGGGATATTAGAGGAGGAAAATATTATCTCCAAGAGGGTGCGAGGGCGCGTGGGGGGAGACATCCACCCCCCCCCCCCTCCAACCCTCCTAAAAACACCCCTGCGTATGTATTACAAAAATTATCTTAGGTTGCATGAAACAGCGAAAAGACCACGCACGGTAGCGAGGCTTACTCAATCTGGTGCATTAGCAAGCACTGTATGCAGGTTTCATCTCAGAGTAGAGATACACGTATCTAATATACGTGGTATATACGTAGACGATCGGGACTGACTGACTGACTGACTGACGCTAATTCTAACCATGTTCTAGAAGGGTTAGAAATCTGAAAATTGGTACACATGTACCTTTTGGGATGCAGA